CCAAAATAGCAGCAGCAAGGAGGACTTTCAAAGCCATGCCATGCCCACAGAATCGGTAGTAAAAAAAACTGGTCCCATCTATGTATTTTGGAAGTCATTTCAAGGAATCATTGCAACTTACATGCAGTTTAGAGCTGAAAGAACAGCTCTAAAGGGAAACTGCTGTAGATAGACTATATATATATATATGTATATGTATATGTATATGTATATGTTGAAGAATAATTGTCATCATAAAAAGAATCAGACTCTTCACAGATGTGGTGTACAAGGAACTGAAATGTAAATGCATGGGAAGAAGGCTTTGCTTTTAAATTTTTATTCATGTAGCAACCTCCAAAATTCTCCTTCAGTTTATTTTAGGACTAATTCATTGGCGGTTCATGCATGCAGCAGGAAGCAAAGCGAGTTGTATAAATGAGACGATGCCATAAACGTTGTCACTGTTGTATAAACTGCAAGCCGTGTGTGGTTTTTGTTAATATGTTCGAAGAGTTTTATCGTTCATGCATGGGCCAGTTGAGTTATAAATCCATCCAATATACAAAAGCCACTCTTGTTTTAGGATGCAGCTGATTTGCTCTTCAGTTTTGCTTTGCTGGTTGTAGATACTTTGCTCTTCAATCTACTGATCTTTGGATGTTTGGAATAAGACTTTCATTAACAGCTGATGTAAGTTTGGCTATACTGACAAGTCCCACTGATTAGCATTATTAAGCATGAATTAAGTCAATGGGACCTCAGAAAGTGTTTTGCATTGTGATTTTAGAACCTAAAATGCAATGGACCCTATGGGACTCTACATTGCTTATGGAATTTGTTTCCTTTTCTCTTTTCAGAGCACCTGCAGCGCCAAAGCCAGATCCAATTCCTGTGCAACAGGTAAGGGGTTCTTCCCCAGGTCCTAAGTACACAGGAGAATTCCTATTGTAGCTAATTTACTCATTCACATCCCTCAATGCTCCTTTTAATCAATGCTGTCAATCTGAAAAGTTCTTCCAATGCAACGTGGTTTTGAAAATTTTGAAATATGCTATCTTCTTTTATCTAAAAATTTGGTCCTCGGGTGTAATTTTTGGCTTTGAAAGTCCTCCTTGCTGCTGCTATTTTGGCATTGGCCAAATTTATATTGAGTGATAAGTGACCAATATAAAAGTTTTTAAGTATTTCAAAAACAAGGACTATCATGGAAAATAACTGTTGTAGTTTTTACAGACTTTTCCTTGAGTTGAATTCAACTCCTAGGAATTTCGTGATCATCCTTCCACAGCTTTTTTTTGGTAACAATGAAGAAGTGATTTGCACAATTTTTCCATTTCAGTATATTCCCTCCAACCTCCCCTTTCTAATCCAATCTACCATCCTGGGATTTTCTAATCATTCTCCATTCAAGTGTTAACCAGGCCTAGTTCAGTTTAGCTTCCAAGCCTAAATAAAAGTTAACAAAATGCTGTTACTTATAGAGATCAGCCATGTTCTTAAAAGGTCCCTGTTCATTTCCTAAAATTTTAAGAGTAACTGATTACAAGCATGTTTAGTAGGAGCTTTATAAAAAGGTGCAAATGAAATTAGATAAATAGGTACCACTTCTGTGGGAAGGTCACAGCGTTCCATGTGCTTCAGCATACAATCATGCTGGACCATTTTGGCTCCTTCAGCTGGAGATGAGCACATAAGAATATCAAAGTGCTGTCCACATGGTCACAGAAGGTCCCACAAAAGGACCACATTGGCTCCATCAGTTTGCTCCAGAAGCAAAGGTGAGCACCATCTCCTAGAGCTGGACGTGACTTGACAGATACCTTTACCTTTTATAAAAGCATAGCTTAATGTAAGACTTTTTCTGCCAGATCTCTGAAAGTATGATACAGTTACAAAGAGGAGTTTGTAAAAATGCAGAAAGATTTGCTTTCCTCAATAGAACATGATCTCTAATAGGTGCCTGTTGATTTGCTTAACTACATGTACAGCAAGTCTGATGGCTATCGTGGTACAAAATTTTGTAGCAAAGATACCAAACAAATTCCAAACAAAATATGTGACTTTGCCTTTAAGTTAAGCTAAGATAGCAATAGCTTTTAAATTAGGGGAAGGTAAGATTTAGAAATACCCAGAGCCTGATTATGTGCAATAAAACTAGTAAATTATTTCTTTTTCGCTGGGGTCAGAGTTTTTAAATGACCTCAAACTACTTTTGAAAGTAACTTCTTAAAACAAAATTGGTCATTTGTCACTAGAAAGGAAGGTCATTGTTCCAATATAGACCTGCCTGATATACATAATCCTTTAGTAAGTAAAAATCTTACTGTGAGGATTCTGTCTTTGATTACCTCTAATTCTTGCACTGAAGGACTGCACTTTTCTCCTAATTGTTGGACCCAGTTTTACAGTGAACTTTTTGGCTAAAATAAATCCAAGGCTACCAGCTCACGCATGTTGTGTTTTGTTTTAGTTTTTCTTTTCAATGACGCATGCTGTGTGATGTTGGCAGGCCAATATTTTATGGCCACCGTTCTATATTTTTGCAACCGGTCCGTCATCAATTGATGTTTCATGACAAAACAGCTGCAGATTTCATGGATACATTTTGCATGTGTGTGTGTGCATGTGTGTGTGGCTTTCTTGTGTATTTTTTTCTGTTTTTATTTCACCTAGGTAGAGCCAAAGGACCTAATTAAGCCTGTGCCCATTGCATCTCCGGCTGTGTCCAAAGTTACATCCACAACCGGCATGGCCTTCAATAAGGCTCCTAGACCCTTTGGAGCTGTGTCCTCCTCCAAGGTCACTTCCATCCCATCACCGTCATCTGCCTTCACGCCTGCCAGTGCCAGTCTTCCATTACATGCTTCCCCTACACCTCTGCCCTCTATCACGCCTCCCCCGTTCACTGCCTCAGGAGCGCATGTTAACCCCAAAGCTAACGCTGAGCAGCGTTGCCATGTGCCGAGTGCTGCAAAGCCTACCGTTAATACCCCATGGCAATCCCCACACAGTGCACCGTTCAGCGAAAGGGCCCCAGAGGTGACCGAGGGGCAGCGAAGTGCATCCAGAGAGAACCAGGGTGACAGTAAACAACAAAATGGGTAGGTCGTTTTAGGGACTAGTTTCTTCTTCTTCTTCTTCTTCTTCTTCTTCTTCTTCTTCTTCTTCTTCTTCTTCTTCTTCTTCTTCTTCTTCTTCTTCTTCTCCTTCT